CCTTGTATAATCGTGCGCTGTCGTGTCTTGTTTCTGCTGATCGTTTCAAGAGGCTCTAATATTACAGACAAATATGATAAATTCGCTCTGGAAGTCCTTCCAAACGGTCTCGAAACAATTACCGGACCCACCGTTTGATAAAAACGATATTCATCCCTTTTTGGAGAGCATCATGGAACCCAAGGTGCTCCAAACGGCTTTCCCTCAGGCGGGTATCGCCGTGAAGTGCTCCGCGTGGGCTTACAAATTCTTCGCACAACAATGCAGGTGAATATCCATCCAAATTCACGTTTGAGAGACTCTCTTGGTTACTTATTGAAATTTTAGGAATTCTTATATCCCGTTGAAAATTGCTCTGAAATTACCTACGCGTCACGAATACAGTAATTTTAATAAAAAATGTAGAAATTGTAAGACTTTAATGAGAGAGAATTTTCCTTAAAAAATTTATTAAAATTTAAGTATTTCCATACGTAAATGTAAATTCTTCTCCCGTCTCAGTTTTACGATTTCTATTTTGCGTATGCACGTTCCACGTTCAAATGCTTTTCGGAGTTTTACATGCTTCTCCGATCGTTTATTTGAAATATTTTATTTTTGTTTGTTCAACGGAGCCTCTCCTCGCATCGGGTCGCTAAGATTTCGGAATGGCGTTTGAAAATTCTGTCTTTCGGGTACACGCGTTCCGACAAGCCGCGATAGAAGCCGTAAAGCGTACGTCGGAGCGATTAAAAACTTTATGTCCATGCAACACGACCCGTCGAGTTGTTTTTGTCAGGCAAGCCTATTTATACTCGCCTTTTGGCAGCCACGCGAGAAACCGTCACGTTGATCGCGGTGTTCGTTGCGTTGCTCTTTCTCATCACACAAAAATTTGCCAAAGCCAATGTCTAGAGCAGCTGAACTCTTTTTCACTCGTGACTGTCCACCTCTGACGCGTTATTATTAACGACCGCCCAATTTTATTAAATCTATCGAGACTTTAAATCGGGCTGATACGTTCATTCGCGATGGACAATCTAATTTGTAACAATCACTTTAACAAGTGCGATAGAATATTTTGATACTTTCGCACCTCGTAAATAAAATAGTATTTTTTAACATTTTTGGAAGCTTTATCGGAATTCATTACAGCTCAACGTGTTCGCGACAGAGTACAAATCTTCACAGTAACGAAATTTAAATCGACTTTTCCTTGTTCCAAAATTTATTTATCCCTGTTACGGATATTCCTCCGCAAATAAGCTCCACATTATAAATATGTAAAGCTTGCTTTAAACCCGCAATGAATTTTAATAATGCCACACGCAAGCAATCTGTTATTCCAAGTATTACAACAAAGAAATATATTCTGGACTTTCCAAATTCCCTGAACTACCAGGAATGTCGACGTAGTTCGAGATTCCTAGAATTTGCCCTTGTTTACGTAAACAGATTGTCGAAGGAAACCTTGACACGAATACCTATAGCGATTAACGGCTTCAAATTATAAACAGATACCGAGTAACCATTGTGAAAATTATTCTCCATTGTGAAATCTGCTCGTAGAAACAAAAGGGACGGTCGATAATGGACCAGCAATTCGTCGAACAGCTGTGGATCGAGGCGACACAAAGAGGAAGGCTCGCGAACCTTTGCTCACGCATACAGACGCGTTACTAGCGCAATCAGAAGACTTTCCTCGACTTAACAATCGCAGGAAATATGGGAATACGAAAAGAAAATTGGAGTCAAATGAAGCGTTCGCTAGACAAATAATTGAACAACCGGATCAGCGTTGGATGTTGAATATGGAATCAGTCATTCCTTGTCCTCGAGTTTCGCCTACAAACGAAATCAACGGCAATCGATCCGATATCGGAAAGCATCGCCAGCCTGAAGGATCGACCAATCTTTCCAATGGCCTCCTGATCTCGGCCGATGTTTCTTCGATCATCCCATCGATTCTCGTTCCTCGGGGCTCGCGTACGAAACGATTTCTTAAAAAATCCTCCAACTTTTTCAGCAACGATATCCCACGCCGTCTCTTTGATAATTAGCGAAGTTTCAATCGCCGTCGAAATTCGCACGACTGGATTAGGGTAGTTTCACTTTTGCGTATTTTCGCATCGCAAACGTTGTTGGTATTTCTATTTTTGGCGATAGAAATACAGTTTGATCGTTGTTGTAGTTGAACTGAACGAATAGGAAACGTTTAGTTAATTTTTAGATGACTAACGAATTACGATGGCGAGTATACGAGTTCGACTGGAAATTTTGAAGCGCTAAAAGTTTCCAGTCGTTCTCGTAAGTTCGCCTCGTATCAATCCGGGAGGGGGAGG